GCTGCTACTAGCGACAGAATCAGCTGAATGCAGCAAAGCTCACTCCTACAAACAAGCCCATTCGAGCTCCTAGAATAGCTTTGCCAAGGAGAGAGATAGAGATAAGAGGCCAATCATGAAGATCAGATCGCATAAATGACCATGGTTCTGACTACCGCGCTGTAGAATGACGATATCGCTTGCAAAAATGATCAGGTAAATCAGAAGACTGTCTGTTTGGAAAATTCCAGAAAACCTGTACGATCAGCAAACCCGTTGCAAACAAAACGCTTCTTTTGATGAGCAAGTGAGCACTTCCTTCATTAGGCCAGCAACTTCGTGGTCCTATATAAGAATAGTGGAAGCAGTTGCAGCTCATATGTTAGACCCCTTTTCAGTCGAGAAAATGAGGTGAAGACAAGTGAAATACCCATACCTCTTTTTTTTCAAGGTTTTCGTAAAAAAAAACAAGCTTTCCATTGTTCATTCAGGTGCTGGAAATTATGAATGCGAAGGCGCCGTGCCGCTTTACTTCCCACCACGATATAGCGCTTCTTCATTCTTCTTTATTATATTTTGTTGGACCCTAACAGCAACAGTTTCCTTCGAGGTCTTATGTAGAAGAGGCGAGCACAAAAAGTAAGTCGGCTCTTCCAATCTTTAATTTTCTGTTTTTAATGATTGAATATTCAAGCATAACTTCAAAAAGAACTGGCAGTAGCGCGCATGAGGCCACTCCACTGAATGGAGCCACCTCAAAATCCAAGGAGAATATTCGACTGACAGAAGAAATGTGTGAGCAGGATAGCTCGGAGGTGAGCTGACTATCGGTAATCTTGTAGCAGTCTGTAGGCATGACATCGAGAGATTTAGGTGATTGTGAAGGAGCCAAAATCAACTAAATCAAGCATCGCAGGAAGTTCCTACGCCCTTGTGCTTTTTGCCACTGCGCTTGTTAATGCTCAGATGAATGGTGTCATCCCTAGTGTACAAAGTTATGCTGCTTTGCCTTATTCTCAGGTATCGCTTTTCCATTATCTTCTCTTCCAATATCAGTTTATGTTTTCGCATTGTTTAACAAATCTACCCCAAAAATTTTGTAGGCAAATGTACTTAAGATAAGAGCATTTCCTGGTACTGCTTATTGTGTAAAAACGTGGAATGACCACTTACTTTACGAAACACCTGTACGTCCGTCCATTTTTGTAAAAAAATCAAATTCAAAATTTTGAAAACTTATGGTAACCTTTTGTATGGTCGTCTTTAGGAACCAAACACGTGCACGCAATGCATAGATGTTGAGCTCACCGCCTTTCATAGGTGTGGTTGTTTGAACAAAAATTGCAGTAATTCTGATGGAACAACTTGCAAGATTTGATTGAGATGCAAGGTGCACGCAGTTAGTGGCCCCCCTGACACCTGTGGAAGGGTGCTCATACGATCCCTTCAAATTCTTTCCTGCGGGCCTTGGTGATACTACCTCCAACCCATACTACACCGCTAAACAGTCTCATACGCAAATGTCCTCCCTCGTTGAAAAATGCCCTATGGACGATATGGACCGATGGTTTGGCAACTGTCATATGGATCGCGCGTTATACTTTCACGATTGCAACACTGAACTTCAAATTTCATCTATTTAGGCGACATATCACTTACCGGCAGTGCTCTTGGCCTAAGTATTAGATCTCCGTGCATGTCTTTCCTGCCGTTCTTCATAACAGTCAGGTTAGTTCTCAGTTCTCACTTTGGAAGCGGCCCAAGGTTTCAATTGGAAAATGATGCTTAAGCGATCAGACTTAAGGCTTTTTTCGCGCCATCTGACAGCTTCTGGTGTTGACGCTGTTCAAACGATTCTCGATTAGTTCTGAGGCTTTTCACCCAGTTGACATCCATTTATTACGGGAGTCTCTCTCTTTTTTGTTCCTTCATAGATTCAGTCCTTGCAACTGCCAGAGTGCATGCAGGAACCAATTGAAAGCCTATGAAACCTCGGCAAATGTGTAGTAGAAGATCACAGTTGCATGGAAGGCACCCTCCCTTTCAAATAAACGAGAAGAAACGTCGGGTGCAGACCATACACCACAAGTGACGACGGCCTCCACAAAATGTATTTTCTGCCAATGAAATGATTAGCCTGTTGTATTCTATCAGTTGTCACTAATTACAACTATCATTTACCAAAAATCAGCTATCACTATGAACCACTACTAACCAGATTTACTTGGAGGCCGTCGTCACTTGTGGTGTATGGTCTGCACCCGACGCTCTTCTCGGCTTTTGAAGGGAGGGTCTGTGTTGGAAGAAGTGAGACGAAGCCAGTGATTATGATTAGGAATGGCACAACATAGGGTCGTCCAGAAATTGATGTAGAACTCCTATGCCAAGTGGCAGGTTCTGTCATCAATTAGGCTCTTCTGGAAGGCGCTCGTGCACCGAAATTCGCAACTTGGAGCTTAGCTGTAGACAGTAAAAGATCCTCGAAGAGAAAAGCAAGTATAAGAAACGTAAAAGTTTGACATGCGGTTTGTCATGAAAGGTACCCATAACCGAATCGATAAAAAAGGTCAGGAGCAATTTGTACGGCGATTTCTCAATCTACATAGTTCGTTGATCACTTACTGATAACATAAGCTAAAGGGCAAAATCAGGGCACAAAATCGAATCAGGGCGCCCATATGGGACCCTATGCAGCATTCCTTAAAGGGAAAAATGACGGGTCCTACGGCTCGACCTTTCAATCGGTCTCCTGCTAGGTGCTAAGATTGGGAATCTCTCTCTCCCCCTCGGTCAGGGCGTACTGCATACAGCTTTCGACAGCGAGCAGGTTCAACCATCCGTTCGCACTATTCGAACGAGGGGTCATGGTTGCGATTTCGGTAGGAGGGAGCGGCGTATTTAGGGTTGAGCAAGCTCAACCACCCTTTTGAAAAGTTCGGACTGTTGGTGTGGTTTTGTGTTTTTGTGGAAATTGGAGGGTCATGATTGTGGGGAATGGCCGTTTTGAGGTTTTTTTTGATGAGTTATGTGAAAATATCATGAAAGATGCGCAAAATAAAGGGTGGTATAGGGTTCTGTCGCTTCAGATACTTACTTCTTGCCCCCTCCCCCCGTTTGGCGGCCATTTTAGAGGTGAAGTGGAAACGGAGAACGTATCGATTCTGATCTCAGCAAAATACAACCATGAAGTGGGGGAAGGGGATCGTATTAGGGATGCCTCCTAAGCTTGATGGGGCTGGCGGGAGTAGTATCGAGACCCCCTACCTCCAAAGGCGGGGTCGCAAAATCTTTGGAAAAGTTGTGAACGTGCTCTGGACGCGATGTTCGCCGACAAATGATTTTACTGGGATTTTTGCGAAAAATTTAGGTTAGAGAATCGACGAGTTCGATAAGATGCTGGAGATTACACTCTTTGGCTGACTTGTGGCCCGGTCTTAGGTTTATAGAGAGATTTTCAAACCGTTAAATTCTTGAAAGCGGATATCCATTTGATATATTCTTCATTAGCAAGTCCACTATTTCACTGATTTCTTTTGTATCTTCTTATCTTCACTCAGTGTGCACTGGCGGTGCATATCATTTTGATGGAGTATTCAGAGATTCTGTGCAGGGTGCACACAATCTTATCGCTACCACTTTGCAGAACGAGTTTTTGCATATTACTGACCTTTCTATCTACAACACCGCAAAATCACTTTGAAAGCGAGTTCGCCTCAAGTTAGGGTAGGGATCACTAAATACAAACTGACCTCGTCTTTAAGTGAGTGTAGTTCAGTAGCGTTTAGCTGCCCAGTTTTGTCGCGAAGTAAGGCAAAACCTTGTTGTAGCTTCGCCTCGACATTTTTCTTGATTCCACCATTTTCTGACATCGGGGTCTGCAAAACGATTCAAATTAATCGCGTCAGCTACAAAATTTATCACAATATCAAACGGAGATGAGGGGGGGGGAGGGGCATGTGGACGTAAGCAAACCAGCCCTTTTGGCGTTTCGGCTGGGACCGTATGCTGAATGTTGGGGAGGGGATGGGGTCCCCAACGGTCGACGGTTTACTTCAACTCGGTTGGTACGATAGGAGAGTACTGACGCAAGTGGTGCAGCTGGTCCAGCAGCTCCGCCAGAAGGACTGGTTCTGCTCACCCTTGGACTAAGCCTAGGAGAGGGGACGGACCCGTCCTCTCTTTAAGGCTTAGTTCTAAGGTAAGCGCCAAATTGTGGCGGTTCTAAGGACCGCGTTGAAGTTGTCCGTCCACCGTCGGGGACACCATCCCCTCCCCAACATTCAGCATACGGTCCCAGCCGATGTGCCAAAAGGGCTGGTTTGCTTACGTCTGGTCGAATAACTTCGTATAATACATGACTCAATGAGTCATTAAATAGCTTTACTTGGAATAAGCCGAGTAAAGTTATTTATTGTCTCATTAAGTCCAATATTCGTGTGTTTCAGAATGCAAAGCGTCAAGCTTCTGCAATTATCACTTGTTCAATCAGTACGCACCTAAGCATTACCATTCAGCTGCCTGAACTACTAACTGACTAGCTCACATCTTTAAAGTGACTAGTCAGTTTCACCCATAAGGCGCGTTCATAGTCACAAACGAAAGATCCGCTGCGCTTCACGCGCCACACCGAGTGAAGTAGTGCACCAGGTCCCAGATAGCGCTTCCACTTCTTTCACATTGGCTGCCAACCGCAGTTGTCAATGAACAAACCTGAGTAGAGCTTATGTGTTTCCTGGAAAGTTTTAGATAGCCTAGTTGACTAGCAGAGGTATGGTATGAAACGAGTTATGGGTAAGCTGAGCAGATTGAACCTTGACATTGCTAGCCAGTAATTATTGATCCTGCTCTGCTTGACATGTTAAGAACAATTTTTCTCCATTACTGACAGGTAAGAACATGTCAAATGCTACAGCACTGTCTGGCAGAGCAAACTGCGACCTCCCGAAAACCGGTGAAAGCCTCGTTGGCACCTCAGAGCCCTCTCGGTCTTGGATGTGGCTTGGGGGGGGGGGTGGCAGCGTTAATCACGTCAGATTAGAGAAACGCTCAGCTTCAGGAAAAGCTTTTGAAGAGGAAAGGGACTCCGGTGTGCGGTAGCAATTTTTGTATTCTTCGGAAGTTCGTAATTGTTGCCTAGTCCTATAGGCCTTCGGGTGCCTTCCCTGAGCCTTAGGCTGCTTTCATAGTTCGCATCGGTGCGGTCGGTGCGACGACGCCGACGGCGCCGACCGCACCGACAGTGTGAAGAGCGTCAATACGCGCTCTGGCGCATGACGCGTACGTTGGGCGCAGATGGCGCGCTCCGATCGATAATCTGGTTTTGGTGTATTTCTTGTCTTTTTCGATGTTTTTTTGCGCAGTCTTCCTTTTATTCGTGTGTTTTCTGCTCATACTTATTCTTTTGTCTTGATTAATACTTTTCAGTTGTTCCGCGGACGAGCGACGTCGTACAACCCCGTGTGAACGTGGCTTCAAGACCCGGTCAGTCATGTCATCATGTACAATTTTGTTTATTCGAGTGAACTGTATGTTTTCAGTAGTCGCTTTTTCTTCGATACGATTTTCTGCTGGTGTGCGAATAATTAAGTTACCAAGATCCGGCGGCCTTTCGCACACCAGCAGGAAATCGTACCGAAGAAAAAGCAACTTCTAATGACATAGATTTCACTCGAATAAACAAAATTGCTTATGATGACTCACCCCGTATAGCCACCTCTCCTGGGGTTGTACGACGGGGTTCTACGAAGTCACTCGTCCGCGGAACAACTGAAAAGTAAACGACATAAAGGATACGAAATAAGTATGAACAGGAAACACACGAATAAAAGCAACACGGCGAAAAAAAAACATCGAAAAGCACAAGAAATACACCAAAACCAGGATTATCGATCGGAGCGCGCGATCTGCGCCCAACGTTACGCGTCATGCGCCAGAGCGCGTATTGACGCTCTTCACACTGTCGGTGCGGTCGGCGCCGTCGGCGCCGTCGGCACCGACCCGCACCGATGCGAACTATGAAAGCAGCCTTTACTTAGCATCGCCCTCTCGTCGACCAGATTTTGTCTCAAATGATCTAGAAATTCAAAGAATTTGATGGCTGCAACAGTAAATGCCATGAAAAGAAGAAAGGGCACATGAAGGAGTGAGCCAGCGCTGATTTGCAGATTTTGCTAGTGATTTGTTTCCCGGGTACTGTTGATGCTTTCCTGGGTGTCGGTTTTTACCAAAACAATAAAGAATTATAAGGCAGGGATAGCCGAGTGGTTAAGAGGTTAGACTCATGTCTGCACCTCCGAAAACCGCGAGTTCGATCCCTGCCGAGGCTAACCATGCCTTGCAAAAATTGCAAAAATGGTTCTAGTACCAGCGTCAGGCCCAGGTTGACAGGCCGGCTGATGAACACCCCAGTCACACCAACATGTCTAAAAGTCGAAAAAGAATCAGTGTAAAGCTAGGACGTCACCCGGAAGTGGCGCGCAGAACCCCCGCCCGAGTTCTGTGGTCAGTATGCGAGGGCTACCGAGGAGTGAACGGCCTCGGCCAAAGAAGCTAGTTCGAATTGGGACTCTGAACGTAGGATCGCTAACTGGAAGTCCCGAGAGGTTGCTGATCTGATGACGCGCAGGAATATCCAAGTCCTATGCCTTCAGGAGACGCGATGGAAAGGTGCTAAGGCCAG